TAACACCTACTGATAACAAAGCATAAATAAATTTATTTTAAAGCAAATTTCTTTAAAGCTGAGTGACACACAATTTAAGAAGGTAAGTAAACTCTCAACAAAATGCTAGTATCACTCGTAATATGTAGAAACTGCCTGATACATGTTTGTCACTATTATCAGTTGCTTGAACAAGCTGTACTTGAAGTCAATGTAAAATCCTTTGGGACAGATGACACTGGAGCAAACAGAGTTCTAGCGTGACCCAAAGGGAGGAACCAAAGAACACAGATAATAAAGACACCAGAATTTAGCTTCAGGGCACAGGTGATGTGAACAGAGATAAACATATTGGCATCAGCAAAATTGCAATCAATTCCTGAGTCCACTATTACTAGTTGGATTGTCTTTGCTAAATCAATTATATTGCCTCAACTTCCTCCTCTGTAAGACAAAGATACTATGACAGAGTTGTCACAAATGTCTAAATAAAAGAATTGATGCATTTCACTCTACCGAGAGTAAATGCTCTTATTCTTCTTCCCCTTAACGTAGGTGAAAAGTCTTAACAATTGATGCCAAGAGTCTGAGTCCCTCTGTAACATACAGTTGTTTTGAACCACATTAATGTCTTTCCTGATCAACACACTCCAGTTGATAATTTATGTACTTGTTTTGGTGCCAAACTAACAAACCCAGCAATGCTCAGGGGTTACTCTTGGCTCTGCACTCATAAATTACTCCTATAAGTGCTCAAGGGACCATATGGGATGCCAAGGATGAAACCCAGATCAATTGAGTGCAAGGCAAATGTACACACTGTACTATCATTTCAGTCCCTCAGCTGATAAATTTTATCTCCTTCTTAGCCTCAGAGCCAAAAGACTATGGTCAAGAATTAATTCTAATCCTCACTGGCTGGGTGATTTTGAGGTCAGTTTTCTCATATGGTAAAAGGTAAATGGTTACATCTATCCATCTTATCACAGAGTTCCTGCAAGGACTGAGTGTGATTAATTAATATGATGAAAGATCTGGAAATGCTCTGTACCCTTGCAATGGACAAAATTTGTCTTAGAATACTTGCTGTCTCTTACTTCGCTTTCAATTCTTTTTAAAGTAAACTGATGATTGCCTTTTATTCTCACTTTTTTTCCCACCAACTTTTTTCTAGTTTCGTCTACGATCAACCTAATATTATGATTTTCTTCATTCACTCAAGCCTGCCAGTAACCCAAGGCAAGATGGCACCACCAACCTTATTTTAACATCAAGTGTTTTGCTTTTTGGGGGGTAAGTTGTTTTGGTGTAGTTTGAGGGGGTCATACCTACCAGTGCTTAGGGCTTACTCCTGACTCTGATTGATAGTGCTCATAAAATTAGAGAAAATGCCAAGGAAAACCTTAAATAGATGGAGACTAAGCTACAGGCTGTGAAATAATCACTGGGTCAGTGAGGAAACCAACCAGGCCATTTTAAAATTGGTTGGAAAGAAACAAAAATGAAGACATGAGCTATTAGAACATACAGGACTCAGAAAAACAGCAGTATGAAGAGAAGCATATAGCAATATAGTCTAACATCAGGAAATAAGAAAAACCTCTAATTTAACCTCACAAGTAACGGAAGTAGAAAAAGAAGAACAAATAAAATCTAAAGGTAGTACAAGGAAGTAAAAATGAAAGTTTTAGTGGAATAAATAAAACTCAAAATTACAATACAAAAGGTCAATGAAACCAAGAACTGGTTCTTAGAAACATTTTTTTAAATGACAAACATTTAGCTCGACTCATGAAGGGAAAAAAATATAGACTCCTCTAAGAAGTAAGTTCAGGTAGGAAAGGGGAGAAGTTACACATGTATCACATAAATACAAAGGGTCAAAAGAGACTACTAAAAACATGTTTATATCTCAAGTTTATACCTCAAAGGAAAAAAACTAGAAGAAAGAGCATTCATAGATTCACACAACTTCTAAGACTCTATCAGGAGGAAATTTAAAAACCTAAATAGATCAATTATAAGCAGGGAAAATGAAACAGATTTAGATACCAAAACTCTTGGAATAGAAAGAGCATAACAGTTGGAGGATATGCTTTACATGCAGGAAGTCCAGATTTAATTCCCAGCACCACATGGTTCCCTGAGCACCTCCAGGAGTAACCCCAAGCACTGATCCAAAGATAGAACAAACACCACTAAAATTACACAAAAGGCCCCAAATAGCCAAAACAATTCTGAGGCAAAAGAATGGAGAAATCTTGTGTCCTGAATCCAACTACACCACAAAGCTACAGCAACCAAAAGAGTGTGGTACTAAAATAGAAATTTTTGTTATGCTATTGATGATTGTAAAATTACAGAATCACAGATGAATCGCTAAAGAAGCCACAGTGCCTACACACAGTGGGATATTATGCAGTTGTTAGAAAAGAGGAAATTGTGCCTTTTACTACAGCATGGATGGAACTGGAAGAGATCAGACTAAACAAAACAGATCAAGGAGAAAAAGCAAATACTGGATCATCTCACTTGTGTGTGATACATAAAGAAATACAGTAAGGGAACAGGCCAAGTCAAACAAAAACAAACCTTTGGACTCTGTCCACAGAACTGACACTAGTAAAGACAGGAGGGGTCCAAGGTACACTGGTGAAGGAACTTTTGTATTTGGGTAGTAAGCATAGTGTGGTTACATACATATTGAGGAGGTATAGAGTGGTATCCCCTAAAAATATACAGTCCAGGGTCCAGAGCGATAGTACAGTGGGCAGGGCACTTGCCTTTGCACACAGATGACCCAGGATCAATCCCTGGCATCCCATATGGTCCTCCGAGCACTATCAGCAGTAATTCCTGAGTGCAGAGCTAGGAGTAACCCCTGAGTATTGCCCCAGGTGTGACTCAAAAAGCCAAATATATATATATATATATATATATATATATATATATATATATATAACCAAATAACTCTGCTCACATGTGAGGTCATCTACCAAGAAGTAAAATAAAAATGATAAGGGATCAAGAGAGATAATACAATGGGTAGGGCATTTTCCTTGCATGCAGCTGACTCAGGTCCAATTCCTAACACCCATTATGGTTCCGAGCATCATCTTAAGTGATCTCTGAGCACAGAGTCAGGAGTACCCCTGAGCACAAATGACCCAGATACTCCTCCTCCCCCAAAGGATGATATGCTGGCACAATTCAAAGAAAAGAATCTAGAAAACAAACAAACAAAAAAATCTAAACTGTGTCCCTGACCCAGGCTTCTCTCTTTTAAATAGATGGATTCAGTCCCTCGCTGCCTCACTCATCTCTAGGCCTATCAAGAGGAAACGATTCATCAGAGAGAAGCTTCCTGCTGTCTCCAGAAGGGAAGAGTTTCTAAGCAAGCTGCGCAGCACATTCTGCAGGAAGCAAGAGGGTCGGGTTGAAAGAAACAGGGGTCTGCTTGGGGCTGCCCCAGCCGAAGCCCCTGGTCTCAGCAGGCCCATCCCTTGGCACGGAGTCGGTCCCTGACAGCTGCCAGTGTCAAACCTGGCACATCTCCAACTTCGCATTTTTAAAATTGTTGGGAGAAAAAAAAAAAAAAAAACCTAAAGAAATAAAAAGTATCTTTTTTCTTTTCTTTTTTTCTTTTTTTTTGGGGGGGGGGGGTTTCACATCCAGCGATGCACATGGGTTACTCTTGGCTCTGCACTCAGGAATTACTCCTGGCAGTGCTCGGGGGATAATATGGGATGCTGAGAATTGAGCCCGGATTGGCCACATGCAAGGCAAACGCACTACACATTGTGCTGTCGCTCCAGCCACCAAATTTTTTTTTAATTTTGAAGAAAAGGAAAAAATGGGAGAAATTTAAATAAATAATATTGCATCTGAACATATTTCAAGACCTTTTAAATGGATTCATGTTGAGAACAATATTTTGGATATATTCAGCTAAATACCCTATGTCCATTAAATCCATGTATCCAAACCTTTTAATTTTGTTTTTGTTTTTGTTTTTGCTTTTTGGGTCATACCCGGCAATGCACAGGGGTTACTCCTGGCTTTGCGCTCAGGAATTACTCCTGGCAGTGCTCAGGGGACCATATGGGATGCTGGGAATTGAACCCGGGTCAGCAGCATGCAAGGCAAATGCCCTACCCGCTGTGCTATTGCTCCAGTCCCAAACCTTTTCATTTTTATTATTTATTTATTTATTTATTTGCTCGAGCGGGCCCAGTAACGTCTCCATTGGAGACTTTGTTGTTACTGTGTCTGGCATATCGAATACTCTCGATAGCTTGCCGGGCTCTCCAAGAGGGGCGGAGGCTGGAGCGATAGCACAGCAGGTAGGGCGTCTGCCTTGCACGCAGCCAACATGGCCGACCCGAGTTCGATTCCTCCGCCCCTCTCGGAGAGCCCGGCAAGCTACCGAGAGTATTCGATATGCCAGACACAGTAACAACAAAGTCTCCAATGGAGACGTTACTGGGCCCGCTCGAGCAAATCGACGATCAACAGGAGGGCCTTTACTTACTTACTTACTTATTTATTTATTTATTTATTTATTCAGAGTCCAGCTTCACAGCAGCCCCTGAATTGTTCATTTAGCTGTCTGTTCCAAGAAGCTGAGTGAGAGGCAGGGACCTGGCTCCAAGTCCCCTAGTCTAGTGGAGACAATGTAACTTTCCAGGATTTTCACTGGATTTAGGTTGTTTTTTTTTTGGGGGGGGGGGGGAGGTCACACCCGGTGATGCACAGGGGTTACTCCTGGCTCTGTACTCAGGAATTACCCCTGGCGGTGCTCAGGGGACCATGTGGGATGCAGAGGACAACCGGGTTTGGGGGTGGTGGGGGGAAGGATCCCGGCCAGGCAGCACCTGTGCTTGGGGGAGCAAACAGGGGGATTCCCTTGGAGCTGGGAGCACTGACTCTCCTGCATGGTCCCTCAAGTGCTGTAAGGCATTGACTGGGTCCCCAAGAAAGGCCTCCCGAGCCAGACAGCTGCCACCTCAGCATCCACTCACCCATCAGCTGCTCGGCCACCGGGAGGAGAGGGAGGAAGAGCAGGAGTAGGGACAGCGGCATGGCCCACGGCTGGTCCTTTCTTCAGCCACAGATGGAGAGCTGGGAGAGAAGAACCCCAAGCAGGCGGGGCGGGTCCCCACCACTGGCACTCCCAGCTCAGAGCTGCCCGCTGAGAAGAGGCATGGGGGAAGCGCTCCCTTTTAAAAGGCTTCTGAAATTAGGGAAAAGCGGCCGCTTGAGAGATATCCTGTCACATGAGGGTGCTTGGAAAAAACAGGAATTCAAAGTTACAACTTTGCTTTGTAAGCGAACTTGCGGAGGAGAAGCAGAGACATAGGGGAAGAGGACGCGTGCAGAGAGGGTGGGGGGGAGGAAGGGGACAAGAGGATAAGGAGGAGGAGGAGGAGGCTCTCTGTCTTGAGAACAGCAGGGCAGAGCTGGCCTTCTGGAAGGACAGGAAAGAAACAGCTCTAGTCTCCCTGGCAGGGGCTGGAGACCCAGCAGGAGAGGGACTACCTAACTGAGAAGCCCCCCTGGAAAGCATTTAGAAACGGGACAGTGGAGACTCCCCACTCTAATGTGGGGGTGATGGCTAGTTTCCAGGTAGAGACATGTGCTGAAGTTTGGAAACGCAGCCCCTCTGTCACCACAGTGCTCAGTCCATTTTATGTGTTTTATCTTGGAAAGCTTCAAAAGGAACAGTTCACAGCCAGTTTTGTGTTTCTTCCCTTAGAAAGTAAAAGAGAGGCAAAAATCTAAGCAGACAACTCAGGAAGGCTCAGGAAAGTTCTAGAAGGTTCTAGAAGGTTCTCTAGAACAGTGATCTGTCCGTGGACCAGTGCCAGTATGCAAGTGTGGAAAGGATGGAAAATTCTTTTCACTTGCCTTGGTTTCCATGCCCTGTCTCTGGATCAGTAGGTAGGACAGGTGCTCTGTATAGGTATAAAAAGGTTGAAGAATGCTGATCTAGAAAGTGGGAGAATACAGTGACGATGGATTGGAATAAATTAAGACTCACCCATCGTGACCCGTCCTGGCACTGCAAAGAATCATCATTATTGTCATCGTCTTCCTGTGAGATTTGCAAGGGTCTTCTTGCTAAAAGAAAACAAGGGAGTTTGTTCAAAAACATGTAGATTCATTTCAAAATGGGCGCGATTCATCCTTTTTAAAAGATCTTACATTTCTCAGCTACCAACTTTACCCCTAAGCAGGTAGTGTTATTTTTCAGAAATTAAATATAAAGAAAGGATGTTTTAAACCATATATCAGTAACTAGGTAATCTATCCACAATTGAAATGTGAGAAATGTTATCAATTCTGAAGAATGTGCTGAAATACGTATTATGTACTTATTCGGGTGGGGCCAGCAGTGCTGAAAGTTTACTCCTGGCCCTTTGCTCAGTTCAGGCAATATTCAGGAACCATGTGCAGTGAGCTGGGAATCGAACCTGGGTAGGCCACATTCAAGACAAGTGCCTTAACCCTGTACTTTCTGTCCAGCCCAAGTTTTACTTTTTCTTAATGAATGGTTTATCTTTGAGGAGATAGTCCCAAGAGTCAGCATCTTTCTGATAGGGTCTAAAATTTGCTTTCTAAAATTTGCTTTCTAATATTAAAAATGCAATGTAGGTCTCTTACTAATCTTTTTTTTAATATTCTGAAATGTAGATGATTCTGACAGGCAGGGGGGAAATGGTAACAAAAATGTATCACACAACACAAAAAATAAGTAGGACACAGCACAAATGTTTCTCTTTTTATTAGGCCAGTGCTTAACTGACCAAAAAGAAATTGGTTACAAAACAGGACAGATAAAACATAAAGCTTTTATTTTTTAAATAAAACATTGATTCATTAATTTTTCATAAAAATATTTTAACAAGTCTTTCATAATTTTATTTATTATTTTTTCTTTTTTCATAATTTTACTTATTTATTTTTCTTCTTTTTATTTATTTATTGAATCACTGTGGGAAAAGTTACTAAGCTTTCAGGTTTAAGTCTCGGTCATACAATGATCAAACACCTTTCCCTTCACCAGTACTCATTTTTCACCACCAAGAACCCCAGTATACCCCCCTCCCACCCCTCCCAATGCCTGTGAGGCAGATGATTTCCACTTAACTCTTCTATACATTGATTACATTCATTATTTCAACAAAATATGCACCATTACTGTTTAGAATTCCCCCCTCCAACAATCAGAATTGCTGAAACGGCATTGTGAAATACTTTGTTTTCTATACCTGTTTATGATAATCATATAATCTCATGTGGCCGCAATAGCAGCCTTACGATTTGGGATTTCTGTAAAGGGCCAGATAATTACAAGATTGGTTTCTGTGTGTCTGTTGGTATGGCTGTGTTGGAGAGCTGCTCGTGGGGGGCAACCCATGACCTCGGTAGGGTGTGAAGGACGAGCCGGTACCTCCCCACTTCCCATGAGACTGCAGTTTCCCCATCACCGCTGGCTCATACCTGGCTTTCCAATAAGCTCTGAGGCGGCGGCCACCTTGTATGCAGTCCAGATGCATTTCTGCCAAAAGCCGCTGGGTTTCAAGATTTGTTTCTGAGTCTCTGGGATCGTGGCCGTTAATTAGCTTGATCAGGAGCCAGAGAGGCCATTTGTAGGCAGCAACTCGGGGTCCCACTGGGATGGGGAGGAAAGGGCCAGTTCCACCCCCATCTGGTGAGGCCCCGTGTCTCGTCACTGCAGGCCCAAACCTGACTGTCCAGTGTCCTCTGGAGGATGGTGGTCACTGGACCGCCAAGGGGAACAGGCCAAGGCACGAAACCTATTCCCACCTGGAGTGGCCCAGCACCAGTAACCTACTGCAGGAACAGGATGCATTTCTGCCAAAAGTCTTTGGGTTTTGAGATTCGTTTCTGAGTCTCTGGGATCATGGCCATTAAGCAGTTCGATCAGGAACCAGAAGAGGCCATGCCTCCAATTATATAGCTGAGCTGGATGTGGTTTGTGGGTGTGTCTCCCACATACCTAACTTTTGGCCATTTACTTTCTTGGTAAACTTTGCCCCAAGTTTTTGGGATCTGGCCAAAGGCACAGCAGCAATTTTGGGGTATCTGAAAGCCTGATGGTGCCATCAGGCTGCTGATGCACTTGCCTCACAGGTACAGATTGACCTGCTGGCGGCACCATATCCCCAACTTTTATAATTTTAAAAGGTAAATAAATTAGATAGGTTCCAAAGGCTCTAAGCAATTTAAATTTATATCAATTTTAGAAGTTAATTGAATTTAATTAAATTCTCTATAGACTCACATTCTGGGATTATTTTAATGCACAGATGTGTCAAATAGCTAAAATTAATGGCAAAATCTATGCATTTGGAAGAAAAGTAAACCAAAAAATGTCACTCATGAACTTAACCTTATTGAAACGAAGATTTATTGCATTTGAACAGGTAACAAATGTGTGTGAGAGAGAGAGAAAGAGAGAGAGAGAGAGAGAGAGAGAGAGAGAGAGAGAGAGAGAGAGAGAAAGAGAGAGAAACCCAAGTTGTGGGTGAGTGACACGAGAGAAGATGGAGTGGAATGTTCCAGATTTGCATCATTCCACCTAACCCTCCACTGAACTGGCTCCAGGAACTATCTGCCCCAGTAACAAAGGCCTTCCTGGGTCTGATGCTGGTGCCAATAAGACTCACCAGGCCTCAGTTCCTTCCTTCCCACAAAGGGAGTCTAGTTTTCCTGCTTTTGAGCTACTTTAGATTCGGAGGTGAAGAAACTTCTTTAACTCACATCTTGACTTATTACTTTTGAGAAACTCATTGCTTGGGCCCCTCAATCCACCTGCCTGCTTCAGTTCTAAAAATGACATATTGGTCAAAGGGCTGGAGTACATGCCTAGCTGGCAGGAATCCCAGGTTTGATCCCCAGAACCGCAGGGTCTCTTGAGCACAAGTGGGAGCAACCCCCAAGACAGAAGTAGCCCCCAAGCACCTCTGGGTGTGGCCCCAAGGCAAAACCAAAAGAATTCAGTTTTTTTGTGTGCTGGTTATACAATTTAAAAAAAATTTAAAACCACTAAAAATGTACATAAAAATCTGATTAATATAGTATATCTTACATCATATGGATTTACCACAATAAAATTAAACCAAAGCATTAAAACAATTTTTTATTGAATCATGGTGAAATACACAGTTATAAAGTTGTTCACAATTGGGTTTCAGTTAATCATGAAATGTTCCATCGCCCATTCCTCCACCAGTGTAAATTTCTCACCACTAATGTCCCCAGTTTCCTTCCCACCCTGCACCTTTCTTATTTCTTCTTCTTTCTTCTTTTTCTACTCCTCCCCCTCCTCCTCCTCCTCCCTCTCCTCCTCCCCCCTCGTCCTCCCCCTCCTCCTCTTCTTTTTCCTCCTTTTCCTCCTCTTCCTCCTCCTCCTTCTTCTCTCTCTCACTCTCACCTTTAAAACTAAAGTCTAGTCTTCCTCTTTGTACCCATCTCACAAGTGTTGGTTCTGATTTTGCTTAGCTATTAATGATGGCAATTGTTTGAATTCGCTCACTCTTCAAGCCAAGAGTATTTCTATGATAAAGGAAATCATCCTTGTTATTGGCAGAACAATTTCATTTGAACTATTTCAAATGAACTATTTCATTTCCTCCTAGACTCTCTTTCCCAATAATTACTCATCCAAGTGTGGGTTCCATATAAGAACTTGCCTTAGAACTACAGTAGTTACAAGGAAATTTGCTCAACAAATTCACCCATAAGCTTGCCTATCATTTCTCAACAATAGAGACTGATTCTGCAGAATTGGTTAAAGCAAGCCTATTAGTCAGAAACTTTGCTCAACTGAGAGCAAGGCCATTTCGACTCAAAAAAAGAAAAATTACGATGCCACTGAGAAAAAAAATCATATTATTTACAAAGAGCATTTTTATATTTATTATAATCTATGGTATGTAAATATAGGTTATTTAATGGGTTTGTGATCGATATTATTCTGTAATATTCTGTAATCGATATTATATTTTGTTATGGCAAACATCTTTATATGTTCAGTTTTACATGGTAGTTTAGTTTGTTTGATCATTTTTTTAAGGCCACACCCAGCTGCGCTCAGGCCTCTGATCTCAGAAATCACTCTGGCAGCGTTGGAGGATCATATGTGGTGGCACAGTCAAACTTTCTAGAATATCTAACCTACATACTCTCCATTTCTGATCACAGATCCAGGAGTAAGCCCAAAGAACAGCCAGATGTGGGCCAATTTCCCTGCCCTCAACAAATCACTGAACTATCTACAATGCAAAAAATAGAACCCAACACACCGTATTAAACTACCACCAGTAATTAAGTGAGTTACTGTAAAAAAAAATTAATTACCAACATTTGGTCTTTCTGATGTTTTGGGTACTCATAGTTATTGTTTTAATCTGTGTGCACACCTCATGATGTAGTCTAGAGAGCAACTTTTCAAATATAAATTTAAAATATACCTATATTTTTTATGAGAATCCAGGTTCTTGTTATTGTATTTTAAAATAGGTTTATCTTCTTATTGTTAAATTTTAGATTTCTTTGTAAATTTAGGATAAAGGTCTATAAAAATTTTGATTTTTTTTGAAAATCTTTCCAGTATGGATTTGTCTTCTAATTCTTTGGATACTCTTTCACAGAGAAGGTGGTTTTGGCTTGTTTGTTCATTTTATTGAAGTCTAATTTACTAATCATTTCTCGCACAGATCATGTGTTTGGTGTTATATCTAAAAAGGTCATTTATTTGTTAAATTCAAAACATAGTAAGAATCCACAATATTATCCCTTTCCTTTCTTACTTCTTCTTTACAACTGTCATTCAGTGAACTGAGTCAGAATAAAAAAAACAAGGCTGCCACATCAAACACAAAGTTTTTGGAATAAAAGACAAACATTTAAGTGAAGGGATTAGAATTTTATTAAAAATTGGTATTTACAATCACAGTTTGATCATACATTCATTTGAAGTAGCTTTCCTACAAGTAGTTTTATTTTCATATAACATCCAATGAGACATAATCATCAACAGGGTTTCAAATTTTATTTGTAATAAGGGTTGGAGAGATAGTGCAGTGGGTAAGGCACTTGCCTTGTACATGGCTGACCAGGGTTCAATCCCTGGAGCTCCATGTAGGTTTCTGAGCACCAGCAGGAGTTGTTCCTGAGTGCAGAGCCAAGAGTAACCCTTGAACATTGCCAGGTGTGACCCAAAAATTAAAAAAATAAATTTGAAATATCAGGGAGTTGACTTATATCCTACCATAGTTTTGAATGCATATTTTTACAAAGAAAAAAACTCTTATAAGAACATCAAATGCCCATATAAAAGTTATTTAGGTCTGAATAACAACAGCCATTAAGACTGATGAGAATTGCAACATAATTTCAATGTAATTTTAATTTCCCAGTGTAGAATTATCAATGCTATATTATTGTAACTTATTACAATGTCTATTAAATACCATATACTTGAGCTTAAAATCATATAAATGCTTAATTATGAAAATCAATTAAGAATTTGATAATTTTCTTTTATATGTAATCTTTTGTGTATGCCTTCATTATTTGTATAAAGTGACACAACTGCCCCAAATATCAGGCACATTTATTTTCAATTATCTACAAAATGCATCCCAAATGGAAAGAAACAATACTTCCCATTTGTCTGGCCACTGCTTACTCTAAATATTCTAATATAAATATAAGTATGTAAAATATTTTTATTTAGGAATATTATAAATAAATGACTTGGTCTATTTTTTTAAAAAAATATATTTTTTAAAAAAGGGTTACCATGGCATTTTAAAGGAACTATTTGTATTATAATTTGATGGGGAGCTAAAAGTGTTATAAATTGCTAAAAGAATTACTGATATATGAAGATGAAAGATACACTGTTACACCAAACACCCTATGACCTCCCTTTAAATGAATTTAGGAGATTAATGAGGAACTTGGTAAAATAAGCCCACAATGAAAGTCTTAATAAAATGCTATAGTCAGGATTCTGTAAGAACTCAGACTCAAGAATCTGAGCATCCTCACATTGGTTTTGTTTTTTTCTCATTTTTTTTTTGTTTGGGGGTCACACTCCAAGGGAATAAATGAGAATCTGTAGTAGCTTCAAGGTTTGGCAAGTATCTTTCACAAATGCCTAATTACCATGTAGTCTTAGAGGTAAACACGATCAAAAGTATGATAGAAAAATTCAGTCAACACATTGAATTAATTGTCTTTCTGATACTTGGTCCAATGAAAATAATTAACACTTATCAAGTTGTTCACTCAACTGTTGTGCTAAAGTTCTTTCCTATCAACATCCTTTGAATACTATTAAAGGAGCATTTAATCTACTTAAGTGCTTTTACTAGGCTTATCTTTTCAATGTGGAAATTTTTGTTGATAGTGATAAAAGAGCTTGCCTCAAGTCAGAAACCTAGAAGTGGAGCTTGTAACAACTGTTGGATGAACTTCTGATAGAGGGAAGAAACCATAAAACTCTGGGGCCAGAGATACGGGCACGTTTGGCAGAGAGGAAAGGGTACAAGTAAGCTTGAGTTTGTCATTGTAAGCCATTTGTTCCTATAGATCAGGTAAGAGACTGGCTGTGAAATCATTTATCACTGCCCATAAGCTTCTTATCAAACGATCTCGCATCTAAAAGATCCCTCAAAGAGCTTCTGCAGGATTCCCAGTGTGTTTGTCTGCCAGGAGCAAACCCTCAACACACGTCCAGCCTCTTCTTGTCTAGATTCTCATGGTGTAGCATCACCTCTAACATTGATATATTTATTTGCTATGATCACACGGTCATGGTCCTCCCATTGTTCATCGATTTGCTTGAGCGGGCCCAGTAACGTCTCCATCATGAGACTTGTTACTGTATTTGGCATATTGACTACGTCACAGGTAGCTTGCCAGGCTTTGCCGTGCAGACAAGATACTCTCGGTAGCTTGCCGGGCTCTCAGAGAGGGGCGGAGGAATCAAACCCGGCTTGGCAGGGCCTGCTGTGCACAAGGTAAATGCCCTACCACTGTGCTATCGCTCCAGCCCATTAGCTATGATGCAAATTTAAAATTTAAAATGCAAATTTAAAATTTAAAATGCAAATTTAAAATTTCATTTTAAACAGAACTTGCCCATGATTCTTTTTATGATGTTATCAAATTTCACAAATTAAATGTCCGCTTACTTTGAAACATACATTGTCAATTTATGGCTTCCCATAAACGTTATCTGAGTATTACCAATGAACCTTGATTCCTAAAGTCTTGACATTTAAGTTAACAATCCAGGACTCACAAGAGCTAAGCTTTAACTGAACCAAATATCTGTTAAGACAAAAGAACTTTAACTGGGGTTGGGGAGGAGCACAGTCTATAGAGATCAGGAATCACTCCTGACCATGCTCAGAGGACCATATGTGGTGCTGGCATTTGAACCCAGGTCAGTCACATGTATAGCCAGGCCAGGCAACTATCACTCTCACCCAAAAAATAAGTTTTTAAGCCCAAATCAATTTTGCTAAATAAGAAAGAAACTTGTCATTGTGGAATAAAAAACAAAACAAAACAAAAAAAAAACTTAAGTTCATGTTTGAAGGAGATTCTACGACTATTATTTTCAATTAATATTTTTAAAAAAAAGTATTCCTACAATTTATTTAATAACTTCAATGTTTCCTTTAAAAACTTGTAACTGATTCATTTACAGAATGCTTTTTAATTAATATGAATGATTGAAATCCTGTTCTCGTACTTGGTGAACAAACATGTTCTATTTGTTTAAAGAAGTTTTTATGGAAAACATTTTCAGAAAGTAATGAAGACATAACTAACTGAAATTAACAATTTCTAGAAACACATGTAAGTCAGCTGACAAGAACTTTCCTTTAATTTAGCACCATTAAAACACATTTTAAAAAAATTGTGACAGTTCTTAAAAATGATTTACTTTCTATACTATATTATTCATTTCTTTATATACAGAAAGAACTTATGCTTCAGATTGGGGGGGGGGGGAGCAGGGGAACCAAACAAGCACAAAAAAAAAAAAAGAAGAAAGAAATGACAAATGTCCATACACACATATTAAAGAGGTTTGACTCCATTGCATTTGCTCTTTAGAAGGAAGTTTCGTAGGTGGAGAAAAGCCGAAGTTTGGTTAAGTGATTGAAGTAAAAGTAAGAGAATGCTACCAGGACATTCTTGCAAAGGCCCAGAACGGGCGTGATGGTTCCTAAGGAGATGATCAAACTGAGTCTAAGAAAGATGAAAGGCACCTCTTGGAGCACAACACCCAGGAAATGCCGAAGAGGATTCTTGGGCGTTAATAAAATTCTCAGGAGAGAGATGTAGCTGAAGATGTAGACCGGGTAGATCCAGGCGCTCGTGTACACAGCAGAGTGGCCGGCCACACGCACCATCTCCACTGTGTCCGACCAGTTCACAAAGCTCCAGAGGAAGATTTCAGCGCGTCTGTCCTGGTGGGACACTGTCCTCCAGATGCTCAACTGGAAGTTGGGTTCCTGGGGTCCCTCTGGCTGCAAAGAGGGGCTCTCAATATTGGCGGCCGGGACCTTGGTCCTCTTGGTGGGCTGCGGAGCCACTGAGCTGCCGGCACTCTGAGTCACTCCATCTGAGACAGTTCTGATGTTCTGCAGAGTGGTTTCCTGTCTGTGTTGGTCATCAACTGCAACAAATAGGGTTTATTTAAACGTGAGTTGAAAGGGTTTTCTTTGAAGTGTTTAAAGCGTATCTCCACACCATGATTTTATTATTATTATTATCATCATTGCTTTTTGGTCACACCTGGAGATGCTCAGGGCTTACTCCTGGCTCTGCACTCAGAATTACTCCTGGTGGTGTTCAGGGGACCATACGGGATGCCTGGATCAAACCAGGTTTGCCGCATGCAAGGTCAACAACACCCTCCCCACTGGACTATCGCTCTCGCCCTCTTATTTTCATTTTTAAATTCAATGTTTGTTCCACTGCAGTTGTTGGAAATGCATACCGTGGTGAGTGCTCTCTTCAAGACAGCAGCTGGCATGAGAGAATGTGGGAGGCCCTAGGTCTGATCCCCAACACCCATTTTTAAAAAGTGGACAGATAGCTAGAGGTACTGGGGATCAAAACCAGGCTGAGTGCGTGCTTTGCACTCAGTAATTAAGACCAGGAATTAAGGTGTTTGGCTTGCATGCAGCTGCCCTCCATTCTAGCCCCGAGCACTACCACAGAAGGTCCCCCATGTATAGTCAGAATAGACCCCTGAGCACGAGCCAGGAATAAGTCTTTGAGCACTGCCAGGTGCGACTCCAAAACCAACAAAACAAATGTACAAAAGCAAAAAAATTTTTTTTGTATTATTTCATACTTATCATTAAACATGCTTTCCCCTCCCCCTCCCTTCTTCTCCTCTTTCTCTCCCCATTCTGCGGTTCCAAGGATTGAACCCAGTGCCTCACACAGGCCAGGAAAGTGGTATTTTGTGATTACCAGCCTGTTCTGTAAATACAGAAATTGGGACCAAAGAGGTGAACTGACACCCAACCTCAAAACAACAGTAATGGGCAGCTGTAATTTGCATCCAGATAGGGTTCTTCTGCTAGACAATCTCAATTTTATAGGTACTATTACCTGTCCAGAGATAATATACCATGTACTAATTTTAGAACATGTACTGTCATAAAATCAAATTAATATAGAAGTTCAATGGTCAGTCTTTTCATTTTAGAAAAGATCCTTCAGAGAGCTAAAGCCCAGATCTCTAAGACCACGGTCTGGTGTCAAAGGGAATAAATTTGTCCCTTAGAAAATATTAGGAAATTTTTACCTCTAGTCTCGTGGATCTTTATTACAATACTGAAACACATACCCTCAGATGACATTTCTCTGCCAATTTTTATGCATTTGATGTATGATCTTTGGTCCTCAATTTCTGTAAAATTACTAGAATACTCATTCTGTAAAAACTAATAATATCAATCTCTCTGCTGAGCATAAAAGCAGACTCCCCACTTCCTCTCTGAAGCTTTTCTCCAACCTGTGCTGTGGACATCCTGTCCAGTTTAAATTGTTTTATTTCCAATAAATCCTGTCTTTTCTAAGAAGAAGGAGGAGGAGGAGGGGAAGAAGAAGGAGGAGGAGGAGGAGGGGAAGAAGAAGAAGAAGAAGAAGAAGAAGAAGAAGAAGAAGAAGAAGAAGAAGAAGAAGAAGAAGAAGGAGAAGGAGAAGGAGAAGGAGAAGGAGAAGGAGAAGGAGAAGGAGAAGGAGAAGGAGAAGGAGAAGGAGAAGGAGAAGGAGAAGAAGAAGGAGAAGGAGAAGGAGGAGAAGGAGGAGAAGGAGAAGGAGAAGGAGAAGGAGAAGGAGAAGAAGGAGAAGGAGAAGGAGGAGAAGGGGAGGGAGAGGGGGAGGGGGAGGAGAGGGGGAGGGGGAAGAGGAGGGGGAGGAGGATAGAAAAAGAAAGAAAGAAAAGAAAGAAAGAAAGGAAGGAAGGAAGGAAGGAAGGAAGAAAGAAAGAAAGAAAGAAAGAAAGAAAGAAAGAAAGAAAGAAAGAAAATTTAGGAAAGAGTGGCATAATGAAGCCAAAAATATTTTTTTTCGAGGGGGCAGGGTGGGGGTCACACCTGGTGGTGCTCAGGGCTTACTCCTGGCTTTGTGCTCAGGAATCACTCCTGGTGGTACTCAGGGGACCATATGGAGTGCCTGGGATTGAATTCTGTTCCACCATGTGCAAGACAAGTGCCCTACCCATTGTGCTATCACTCCAGCTCCTAAAGTCAATGTTTTTCAACTGTTCTTCAACAAGGATTTTGAACTGGTCAGTACAATTGGTTAAATTAAAGCCTCTCATTTGTGTCCACAAGAATATGCCTGACCAATATGCCAACAAGCCAGCCATCTGGATGAGGAGGGTGTTTCTTCATCAATGTCATGGAGGTGGAGACGGAGAGGGGAGAGATAGAGACAGAGAGACACATGAATTAGCATTGGTGTCATGAGTGACAGGATTTTAAAAATGAAAGTTGGATCACATTGTTTTCCAGAAATTTATCCACTCAAGCACTATTTGTATTGCTAAGAATTTATCAGGCCTTGACAAAGTTTACTCAGGGAACATGCTGAATCGCCATGTTTCTTGATAAGACAGAATTTAAAGGGTGTTATTAGACTAAATAGCTCTAAAGGTTAAAGGCATAAAGTTAGTAAAACCTTGTTGTATCTATTGAGCTGAAAGAAACTATTTTTAAATAACTGATTATGATTAATAACTGAAAATGCTTAATAGTGTTGCTTAAAAACAGATAAACTATGGTTTTCATGAAGTCATTCTTTAACTATAGTATAAATTGAGAATGTTGATATACTAAATATATTACCAAAATTCCTGATGAAATTACTTTCTTTCATTAAGAACCATTACGGAAACCATTATTTTACTGTTCATAATCATCACTTCTTAGGCTCAAATGCCATTATCCCTCATCTTACAAAAAAAATCAGTATAGAAACTATGTTGCTGAGAATATGCCTGCAGTAGAGAACTTGACCTAGAATCCTCATTGCTTTGTCAACAGTGGAACATAATCTATAATTTAGGCTTTCAAACACCATCACAAGTTCAACATGGTTTCAACGTAGGAAACAGTAAGTTAAGAAATGATCCTTGAACCATTTTTTAACAGTCAATGTCTTAATGTCTGAGCTGTAGGTGGCGAACAATGAATTCCTAGTTAAGAGTTTGACAGGAAGGAAGGAAGGAAGGAAGGAAGGAAGGAAGGAAGGAAGGAAGGGAGGGAGGGAGGGAGGGAGGGAGGGAGGGAGGGAGAGAGGGAGAGAGGGAGAGAGGGAGAGAGGAAGGGAAGAAGGAAGCTAGGAGAGAAGGAAGGAAGGAAGCCATGGGCAAGAGAGTACAGGGATTAAGATGCTTACTTTGTATGTGATTGACTACTCTGATCCCCAGCATCTAATGATTCCCTGAGCATCACCAGGAGCAACCTCTGATCACAGAGCTGAGAGAAAATCCTCAAGCACCACTGGAAGTGCCCACTCCTCACCAAAACAAAGACTTAAGTCATAAAACTAGTGTCATTACCGAGGATAGAAGTGAATCACACTCAGACACGGAGAACCAAATCAAACACCTGGAAATTAAACAACTCAATGCTGAACAACGAGTGGGTCAGGAACGAAGTCAAGGATGAAATCAAAAGATACCTGGAAACAAATGAGAATGAAGACACGAGCTACCAGAACCTATGGGATGCAGTGAAAGCCATATTAAGAGGAAAATTTATAGCTCTGCAAGCATATCTTGGGTGTGTAGAAAGGATGCACATAAACAACTTGACCTCACAGCTCAAGACCTTAGAAAAGGATCAACAGAAAGAGCCTAAATCAGGCAGAAGGAAAGAGATCATAAAACTTAGAGCAGAAATCAATGACATGGAAACCAAAGAAACAATCCGAAAGATCAATGAAACCAAGAGCTGGTTCTTCGAGAAAATAAACAAGATAGATAAACCACTAGCAACACTCACAAAGAAACAGAGAGAGAGAACCCTAATAAACCGAATCAGAAATGAGAAGGGGATATCACAACAGAAACCAAAGAAATCCAAAAGATCATCAAAGACTACTTTGAAAGTCTGTATGCCACGAAACAAGAGAACCTAGAAGAAATGGACAAATTACTGGACTCCTATAATCTCCCAAAGCTGAATCAAGAAGATCTGGAGTATCTGAATATAACTATTAACATCAACGAAATAGAAACTGTAATCAAAAATCTTCCCGAAAACAAAAGCCCAGGTCCAGATGGATTCACTAGTGAATTTTTCCAAATATTTAAAGAGGACCTACTGCCAGTTCTTCTCAAGCTTTTCCAGGAAATTGAAAAAAAACGGAAACTCTCCCAAACAGTTTCTATGAAGCCTATATCTCTCTAATATCAAAAGGAAACAAAGACACCACAACAAAAGAAAACTTCTGGCTGATATCCCTGATGAACACATGCGAAGATTCTCAACAAAATACTAGCAAATAGAATTCAACTACTCATCAAAAAGATCATACACCATGACCAAGTAGGATTCATCCCGGGGATGCAAGGCTGGTTTAACACTCAGAAATCAATCAACATAATCCACCATATCAACAAAAGCACAGCGGGTAGGGCGTTTGCCTTGCATGCGGCCAACATGGCCGACCCGAGTTCGATTCCTCCGTCCCTCTCGGAGAGCCTGGCAAGCTACTGAGAGTATTCGATATGCCAGACACAGTAACAACAAAGTCTCCAATGGAGACGTTGCTGGGCCCGCTCGAGCAATCAACAAAAGAAAAGATAAAAATCAAATAATCATATCAATAGATGCAGAGAAAGCACTTGACAAGATCCAGCACCCATTTATGATGAAAACCCTAGCCATTTATGATGAAAACCCTAGCTAAAATGGGGATAGAGGGGACTTTCCTCAATATAGTTAAAGCCATCTACCACAAGCCTACAGCAAGCATCGTGCTCAATAGGGAAAAACTGAGAGCCTTCCCTCTAAGACCAGGGACGAGACAAGGATGTTCATTCTTTCCACTGCTGTTCAATATAGTACTGGAAGTACTTGCAATAGCAATTAGGCAAGAAAAAGATACTAGGGCCATCCAGGTAGGAAACGAAGAAATCAAGCTCTCACTATTCGCAGATGATATGATACTATACTTAGAGAATCCTAAAACCTCTACCAAGAAACTTCTAGAAACAATAGGCTTGTATAGTAAAGTTGCAGGCTACAAAATCAATACCCAAAAGTTCATGGCTTTCCTATATGCAAATAGTGAAAGAGAAGAAAGTGACATGAAGAAAACAATCCCGTTTACAATTGTGCCCCAGAAAATCAAGTACCTAGGAATCAGCTTAACTAAGGAAGTAAAGGACCAGTACAAAGAAAACTACAAACTGCTACTTCAGGAAATAAAAGAGGATACTAGGAAATGGAAAAATATCCCCTGTTCATGGATCAGGAGAATTAACATTGTCAAAATGGCAATATTTCCCAAAGCACTGTATAAATTCAACACAATCCCTATTAGGATACCCATGACATTATTCAAAGAAGTGGAGCAAACACTCCTGAAATTTATATGGAACAATAAGCCCCCACGAATAGCTAAAGCAATTCGTGGGAAAAAGAAAATGGGAGGAATCAACCTCCCTAACTTCAAACTCTGCTACAAGGTAGTAATAATTAAAACAGCATGGTACTGGAACAAAGGCAGAGCTGTAGACCAATAAAACAGGGTTGAATATACTGACATCTCCCCCCAAGCATATGAGCATCTAATCTTTGATAAGGGGGTAAGAAATGTGAAGTGGAGCAGGGAAAGCCTCTTTAACAAATTATGCTGGCAAAACTGGACAGCTACATGCAAAAAATGGGCTCAGATCTCTGCCTAACTCCATGTACAAAAGTAAGATCTAAGTGGATTAAAGACCTCAACATCAGACCGGAATCTATAAGGTACATTGAAGAAAAAGTTGTCAAAACCCTCCATGACATAGAAACCAATGGTGTCTTCAAAGATGTCACACTGCTGGCCAAGCAAGTGAAAACAGAGATAGACAAATGGGACTATCTTAAACTAAGAAGCTTCTGCACCTCCAAAGAAACAGTGACCAAAATACAAAGACAGTCTAAGAATGGGAAAGGATATTCGCCGAATACACATCTGATAGCACAGCGGTAGGGTGTTTGCCTTACAAGCGGCCAACATGGCCGACCCGAGTTCGATTCCTCCGCCCCTCTCGGAGAGCCCGGCAAGCTACCGAGAGTATTTGATATGCCAAACACAGTAACAACAAAGTCTCCAATGGAGACGTTACTGGGCCCGCTCGAGCAAATCGACGATCGACGGGAGGGCCTTTACCATTACCTTTACCTTACACATCTGATAAGGGGTTAATTTCAAGGATATACAAAGTACTGGTTGAACTCCACAAAAGGAAAAATTCAACCCCATCAAGAAATGGGGAGATGAAATGAATAGAAACTTTCACAAAGAAGAAATCCGAATGGCTAAAAGGCACATGAGAAAATACTCCAGATCATTAATCATCAGGGAGATGCAGATCAAAACCACAATGAGATATCACTTCACACCACAGAGACTGGCCCATATCCACAAGAACAAAAGCAACCGGTGCTGACATGGATGTGGTGAGAAAGGGACACTCCTTCACTGTTGGTGGGAATGCCCACTGGTTCAGCCCTTTTGGAAAACAGTATGGACCATTCTCAAAAAATTAGAAATTGAGCTCCCATTTGATCCAGCAATACCACTCCTGGGAATATATCTCAGAGAGGCAAAAATGTATAGTCGAAGTGACATCTGCACTTGTTTGTTCATTGCAGCACTCTTTACAATAGCCAGAATCTGGAAAAAACCTGAGTGCCCGAGAACAGATGACTGGTTAAAGAAACTTTGGTACATTTACAGAATGGAGTACTATGTAGCTGTTAGAAAAGACGAAGTCACAAAATTTACATACAAGTAGTACTACATGGAAAGTATCATGTTAAGCGAAATGACTCATAAAGAAAGGGATAGACATAGAAAGATTGCATTCATTTGGGGAACATAAAGTAACAAAATAGGAGACTAACACCCAAGAATGGCCGAGATTAGTACCAGGAATTTTACTCCATGGCTTGGAGGCCAACCACACATACTAGGGGAAAGGGGAGCTCAGATAAAGAAGGTAACACCAAATAAAGGTGTCGGGAGGATCCTCCCAGGATGGGAGAAGCATGCGGAAAGTAGACTATAGGCTAAACATGATTGTAACCCATTGCCTCTTTTTCAAACCACAACACCCAATAAGAGAGAGAGAACAAAAGGGAATGCCCTGCCACAGAGGCAGGGTGGGATGGGGGGTGGGAGGGATACTGGGATCTGTGGTGGTGGGAAATGGGCATCGGTGGAGGGATGAGTATTTGATCATTGTATAATTGAAACCCAAGGACAAAAATGTGTAAGTCTGCAACTGTACCTCATGATGTCTCACTATTAAAAATTTTTTTAATAAAAAAATTTTAAAAAATTAAATAAAATAATCCTCAACTCTCAAAAATGAAATAAAATAAAACTCCTAACCCTAAGGCGATCCAAAAAAAAACTAGTGTCATTAGAAAAGAAACCAGTGCCAGAAAAATAACTCAACAGGTTGAGCATATGTTTTGCATGCAGAAGGGCTGAGTTTTTTTTTTAATTTTATTTTATTTTATTAGTGAAGCACCATGAGATACAGTTGTAGATTTACAAATCTTTGTGCTTGGGTTTCGGTCATACAAAGATCAAATACCCATCCCTCCACCAGTGCCCATTTTCCACCACCATGGATAATATCCCCCCACCTCCCCTCCCACCCTGCCTCTGTGGCAGGGCATTCCCTTTTGTTCTCTCTTTCCTTTTGGGTGTTGTGGTCTGCAAAAGAGGCATTGAGTGGCAAACATGTTCAGTCCATAGTCTACTTTCAACATGCATTTCCCCTCCTGGGAGGATCCTCCAAGCACCCTTTATTTGGTGCTCCCTTCTCTATCTGAACTGCCCTTTCCCCTAGAATACCCGGCTGGCCTCTAAGCTATGGAGTAATCCTCCTGGTGTTGATCTCAGCTATTCTTGGGTATTAATCTCAAATTTTGTTGCTTTATATCCCCCAGATGAATGCAATCTTTCTATGTCTATCCCTCTCTTTCTGACTCATTTCGCTTAGCATAATACTTTCCATATTGTACCACTTGTATGTAAATTTCATGACTTCATCTTTTCTAAGAACTACATAGTACTCCATTGCGTAGATGTACTAAAGTTTCTTTAACCAGTCATCTGTTCTTAGGCACTCAGGTTTTTTCCAGTTTCTGGCTATTGTAAAGAGTGCTGCAATGAACAAACAAGTGCAGATGTCACTTCGACTACACATTTTTGCCTCTCTGGGGTAAATTCCCAGGAATGGTATCGCTGGGTCAAATGGGAGCTCAATTTCTAATTTTTTGAGAAACGTCCATACTGTTTTCCAAAAGGGCTGAACTAGTCGACATTCCCACCAACAGTGGGAATCTCACCACATCCGCGCCAGCATCAGCATCGGTTGCTTTTGTTCTTTTGAATGTGGGTCAGACTCTGAGGTGTGAGATGGTATCTCATTGTGGTTTTGATCTGCATCTCCCTGATGATTAATGATGTAGAGCATTTTCTCATGTGCTTTTTTGCCATTCGGATTTCTTCTTTGAGAAAGTTTCTGTTCATTTCATTGCCCCATTGTTTGATGGGGTTGGATGTTTTCTTCCTGTGGAGTTCAACCAGTACTTTGTATATCCTTGATATCAACCAAAGGGCTGAGTTTTATTCCTAGTACTTGCATGGACCCCCAAGCACTGCCGGCAGTGACACCTGAGCACAGAATTGGGAGTAACCCCTGAGTACTGAGAAGTGTGTGATTCAAATACTGGAGAGTTTAAAACAAAACAAACAGAAATGAAACTGATACTAATAATGTGTGGTTATACTTTCAGCAGTTACTAGCAAATTAATGTCAGTGTATGTTTGATGCTGGGCATTGGGAATGACACAGCAAATGATAGAGAAACTTTTCTCTCCCTCACCACACTGCTCACTGCCCTGGCAGAGGTATGGCTAGAGAAAGAAATCGAAGGGGCTCAGGAAAGCTTTCTCAAAAGTAACTAGCAGAATATCAAAGAGTGAGTTTGGTCAACAAATGGGTAAAGGAATATTCCAGGTACTGGGGAAAGCATGTAAGTGATCCTTCAGCTAGAGAGAATTAGAAGATGTAGCACCTTTTAAAAGGAAGGAGAGGGGTTCGAAGGGTTTAAAGGACTAATACGGGATCTGCGTGGGACAGGGAACTGAGGCACATATTGCGGAAACAAAGCTGAATGGCTCCCGGCACTCTCTCCTCATTTGAACAGGTACTGCCCGGTGCCCAGCGCCAGGGACCCTTTCCAGAGCTGCGACCACTAACGCGGCCGCGAATTATTCTCCCACTACATATCCCATAAGAACCATAAATTACCCTCTTAGATGTAACCTTCTCTAGGTTAGCTCGGCCACTAGAAACACAGTAGCCAATAACTCGTTAAGCCTATCTCAACTCACTCTGCATATCAAGCAGAATAGTAACAGTGAACGTGAAGGACTAAACCACACCTCTCACAATGGTAAAGCAACGCAAAAGCCCACCAAAATTTCTTATTGAAGAGGCAAGCCCAGAAGACACCAACAGTACTGTAGTAGTTAGAAAACCTCTCTGACAAGGAATTCAGAAGGGAGCTACTTAGGATGCTTAGGGAACTAAAAGAAACAATGGAAAGCAATGCCAATAAAAGACAAGAGGATTTGAAGACAGAAGTGAGGAAAATGCAAACAGAAATGTCAGACCTAAAAAACCTGGTAGACGGATTGAAAAACTCAGTGGAAGGCCTCAGCAGCAGAGTAACAGCTGCTGAGAACAGAATCAGTGAGCTCGATGAAGTTCAGAGACTCTCCAGAAAAGATCAGAAAATGGAAAAGAGACTCACAATTCAGGAACAGATGGCAAGAGAAGATCATGATGAAGCCAAGAGGGGTAACATAAGAATTATTGGAGTCCCAGAGGGACAGGAAGAAAACCTTGATGAAGAAGAAACTGTCAAAGATATCATTGCTACATTTCCAGAGCTGAAGAAAACTTGTGACCACATTCAGGAGGCCCGAAGGGTACCAGCTAGAAGAAATCCGAATAAAAATACCCCAAGACACATCCTGATCAAAATGACCGAAACCTTAGATAGAGACAAAACTTCTGAAAGCAGCAAGATCGAAGAAAGAAATGTCCTACAAAGGAGCATCCTTAAAATTCACAGCTGATTTTTCTGATGAAACCCTCATGGCCCGAAAACAGTGGTGGGATATAGTGAAAAAACTCAATGAAATAAATGCCTCTCCAAAAATACTTTACGCAGAAAGACTCTCATTCATAACAGAAGGAACAACACACAGTTTCACAGACAAACAATAGCTCAGGAACTTCATAGACTCAAAACCATGGTTACAAGAACAACTAAATGGGCTACTTTCAGGCAAGACAGGCCCCTCAAATACACCAAATTTCAACAGAACAATGGGACAAAACCCCATGACAATAATCTCTCTCAATGTCAATGGGCTAAACGCACCAATTAAAAGACACAGAGTGGCAGGATGGATTAGAAAATTGAACCCAACATTCTGCTGCCTTCAAGAAACACATCTCAATAGTCAAAGCAAACACAGACTCAGAGTCAAAGGCTGGAAAACAATCCTACAGGCAAACAACTCCCATAAAAAAGCTGGGGTAGCCATCCTAATATCAGACCACATCGATTTCAGAGTGAAGAAGGTCACAAGAGACAGTGAAGGCCATTTCTTACTGATAAAAGGTTCTGTACAACAGGAAGAACTTACAATACTAAATGTATATGCACCTAATGAGGAACCAGCAAAGTACTTAAAACAACTACTCATAGATTTGGAAAAAGACATCAATAGCAACACAATACTAGTGGGTGACTTCAACACCGCTTTATCACCTCTTGATAGATCAATCAGACTCAAGTTTAATAAGGACATACTTCACCTGAGGGAAACAATGGAAGAAAGAGACTTAGTAGATATATACAGGACACTTCATCCTCAAAAAGCTGAATACACATTCTTCTCAAGCGTACATGGAACAGTTTCAAAGATAGACCACATGCTGAGCCACAAAACATACCTCCATAAAATTAAGAAGATAGAGATTGTATCAACTATCTTCTCAGACCATAATGTGCTGAAATTAGAAGTAAATGACACACAAAAACAGAAAACTAAATCAAACACCTGGAAATTAAACAGTGCACTATTGAACAACGAGTGGCTTAGAAAGGAAATCAAAGCGGAAATCAAAAGATTCCTAGAAACGAATGAAAATGAGGACACGAGTTACCAAAACTTATGGGACACTGCAAAAGCTGTGTTAATAGGAAAGTTTATAGCTCTGCAAGCATTCCTCAGAAAGGAGGAGCAAGCCCACATAAATAACCTAACCTCACAGCTTAAGAGCTTGGAGAAGGACCAACAAAAGGAGCACAACCTGAACAGGAGGAAGGAAATAATAAAACTCAGAGCAGAGATTAACGAGATGGAAACCCAAAA